GGATTAGACTTTTGATTAGCGAGATTAGAAGCTAGAATATAGTGAAATAAGGGCTTCAACATTCTAAGGGAAAGAGATTTTGAAATTAGAATTTTTAGCCTAACAGTCAAGTAATATAAACATAAAGTCACTTTTCAGAGAAGCAAGGACCCAGAAAGTTTACCTCCCTAATGACACTTCTAGGGAAATTATCTGAAATGCACTCCAACAAAACAAGGATGACAACTATAAGGAGCAAGATGTGAGATAGAAGAAACTCTAGAACTAATTCCCAGAAGTCTAATGGCAGTAAATCCTAGGTTGATAACTGCAGCAATCCTAAACAACAGTTGATCCAACTTAAAACAGAAGATCAATGAACTTTGAGAAAAATGAAGCCAAGCAATAAACAGAATGATGAAAAAGTGGCAAATATTTAAGACACAGCATGGATTGAATGTATTTCTTCCATGGATAAGAAAAAAAAAGACAGTCAAAAACTCCTGGAAAAATAAAATATAGTCAATACCTGTACATATGCTCTTTGACTTACTATGGGGTTACAGGTTACATCCTAATAAACCCATCATAAATTGACAATATTGTAAGTTTAAAATGAATTTAATACACCTAACCAACTGAACACCATAGATTAGTGTAGCCTACCTTAAACGTGTTCAGAACACTTACATTAGCCTACAGCTGGGAAATATCATCTAACACATAACCTATTTTGTAACAAAGTGTTGAATATCTCACATAATTTGTTGAACACTGTACTGAAAGCGAAAAACAGAATGGTTGTATGGTTACTCACCATTAACATACACAGCTGAAAGCACACTAGTCCTAAAGAATATTTGAAGCATTGAACTAAAATTAATATCTAGATGATGAGGGTACTAGAATGACAGGGTCATCAATTTCTCTCTCTTCTGAGGAGGCTTAAGAATAGTTGGTAGAAGGCACTGAGGTATTGACACTTCACTGATGGTTTAGCTGGCATAGTGTTCTTCAGAAAGATGTCAAGTATCAGTTGTTTATCCTTGTGATTGCTGACAGAGAGCTGCAGCTAGCTGCCACTGCCCAGCATTGTGAGAGAGTATTCTCAGGAAAAGATCAAAATTAAAAATTTGAAGTACAGCTTGTATTTGAATGTGTATTGCCTTTGTACCATTGTAAAGTTGGAAAATCATAAATCAATCCCTTGCAAGTCATGGACCATCTGTATGTCATGGTTCAAATATAAAACAAATTAAAATGTGGCAATTAAAATATTTTAATTAAAACAAACAAATCAAAATAACCTGTTATGACTATAAGATGTTTTTTGTAAGTGTTGTGGTAACCACAAGGCATAAACCTATAGTAGATACACCAAAAATAAAAAGCAGGGTATCACAACATACCACTAGAGAAAATCACTTAGCCACAAAGGAAGACAGCAAGAGAGAAAGAAAGGACAGAGGATCTACGAAACAACTAGAAAACAATTAACAACATGGCAGTAGTAAGATCTTGCCTATCAATCATTACCTTGAATATTAATGAATTAAATTCTTCAGTCAAAAAAGAGTGGCTGAATGGATTAAAAAAATAAGTCCCAACTATATGCTGCTTACAAGAGACTCACTTTACCTATAAGAACACACATAAACTGAAAGCAAAGACATGAAAAAAGAAATTCCATTCAAATGGAAACCAAAAGAGAATAGGAGTAGCTATGTTTAGATAAAACAGACTTTAAGTCAAAAACTGTAAAAACAGACAAAGAAGGTCATTTAATAATAAAAGGGTCAGTTC